CGGAGTGGTATGGGTGGAGTATGTGGGGTGGGTTAATTATATTATATTATATTATAATTAAATATTTAATAATTTATCATTTAAAAAAAAACCTGATTTTTGAATTTTCAAACTATAAACATGATTTTTGAATTGATATAAATTAAACACCTTATTTATGAATTTTTCCCTTTATCTCGAGCAAAATAAAAGGGGGGCATCCCCATGATTTTACATTGGGCTTGAATATGTGAAGAAGGCCCAAGAAATAAAGTAGTTGACCCATCACAGCAGAGAGGCGGGAATAAACACATTATCCAACAAAAAGTCTTGCACTAGAAAAAGACGAGTCACTTCGACCATTAAGAGGTTGTTTGGGAGAGATTTTAATCCAATTAAAATTAAAAATATAGTCGTTATTGGGCCTCACTCGTCTAATAAAAGTCAACAATAACGACTAATTTTTCAATTTTAATTCGATTTTAATTCCTCCCAAACAAATTCTAATTCTTGACATACCTTTGCATTGACCATTGGACAAAACCCACAAGCTAGTGAAATGGACCGGTCTAAATGGCAAGTGGGTACATGAGCTTTTCCGGCAGGAAGGGATTGCCGGAGGAAGAATTTCCCCCCATGTTTAAGGGCTGCAGCTGGAGCCTATATTTTTTGCCCAGGCAACAGTTCAAACACCATTTCAAATTTGAATATTTTTGCAGAAGCGCCTGAAAATTTTTTTGTTCAAGAATGAATAATGCTTGCAAGGTTTTCAGAGTTTTGGATATCCACGTTAGTGATGCATTCCAGTCTTTCTTTGAGGCGGCAATCAAAGCTTGACTATTCTCCAAATCATTTGAACGAAGTCGGAAGAATAATTTCGTAAATATGTCCTGTTCTAGTAATTCCTCCATTTTGTGGAATCAACAAAATCTTCAAAAATGCATCTCATAGCTAAAAACCTCTTTCTTTCCGGTGGCCTCTTTTGCAGTGTTTCCCATGTCCGAAAATAACCACTTTCCATTTTGGGTTTCTTCAACCATTTGTCGGAAAGTTGCTTTTTTTTTTCAAGGAAATTTTCACACCTCTGTTAGTCTTTCCAGTAGCCATTTTTCTTCGTTGTTTGGTGGCTGATTTCCTCCAATTTTTTGGTAGAGGAACTGCCCGAAAAAGTAATCTTTTTCCTATTGCTGTCTTTGCTCTCTTTTAGTAGAAAACTGTCCTGAAACCATATTTTTGGGTGGTCTTTTAGACGTGGTGATAACATGGTTAATGTACAATTTTGCACCGACAACGTCAATCCGTTGACCTCGAAAAATGCGCCAACAGAATTCCAATCATTTCCACAAAGACGTCACACGCACATTGAATACCTCGTTAGAAGCAAAGGCCGTCGATCAAGAAAAAAGTCCGATGACAATTTGCACTCCAACTATCAAATCAACGTCCGAACAAAAAAAAAATGAGCTCAAGAGACGGGAAAGGGGATTGGGCTAGGAAAATGTAAATGTGTTAAGTGGTTAATGGGTCGAACCCAAGATGTAATTGTTTAATTAAAATAGGTCAAATCAATTGAATAGTCGACGCCACGTCGACATATATGAGATTATTTTCATCTGAACATGTCACGTAACTTATACCACATAATTTATAGGTCAACAAGGACAAATTGATGTTTCTTTAGCCCTTCCTTCAAACTTCATTGAAGGTTTCAACAATAGGTCAACAAGGACAAATTGATGTTTCTTTAGCCCTTCCTTCATACTTCATTGAAGGTTTCAACAGATCCCCATTTTCCAAAATTTTCCCCATTGTTTTGGTTGGATTTTCTTGAAGCTAGTGAAAAGGACCGGTCTAAATGGAAAGTTGATTCATGTGACTGTAGCTTTTCCAGTGGTTTCAAAGGCTGAAAACATTCTATGGACGATACAATTGGTTGACCTTGAAAAATGGCAAACATAATTCCAATCATTTCCACGTAGATGTCACATGTACACTTGAACACCTCGTTGGAAGCAAAGGGCGTTGGTCAAGAAAAATGTCGTGCGACTGTTTGCACTCCAACCGTCAAATCAACAATTGAAAGAAAGAAAAATGAGTGCAAGAGACCGAAAATGGAATTTGACTAGGATTAGAATACATACCGTTTAGGGGAAGGGGATTTGGCTAGGAAAATGTAAATGGGTCAAACTTAAGATGTAATTGTTTAATTAAAATAGGCCCAATCAATTTCATAGTCAATACCATGTCGACATAAATGTGACTCTTTTCGTCTGATCATGTCACGTAATTTATAGTAACAAGGACAAATTGATGTTTCTTTAGCCCTTCCTTTTTTGAAGTAACTTCCAAAGTTGTTATCCCCATTTCCAAAATTTTGCACATTATTTTGGTTGGATTTTCCTTTCCACATTTGTCTTTTTGCACATCTGTTACCACCAAGACTTTGAATTCTCATAATTCAGAGAGGGGACAACTCTATATAAATGGGAGTGTCCCAGTGGTCCTAGCTATGCATTTATTTTGTGTTAAAAGTTGTTGGTTGTATTCAATTGACCCAACCTTATATCCCTATAAGCCTAATCAGTCTATGCACTTATCCCTCGACCCAACCTTATATTCCTATATAGGATATAGCAAGAATTCTTAGGGTGCCTCAATCGGTGCACAAGAGAGGTGTGAGGAAAGAGCTTGTATCGATCTTTCTGTTGTAGGCCAAGTAGACATAAATCTCACACATCGAAGGTGAACTAGCGTATAATAAAAGAACCTCTTTTCTTGATCACTATTGAAACAATCCTAATGTGTTATGAATTCTGTTTTGCAGGATTTTGTTCGTCTGGCATCAAGAACTTGAAGTTCTTGCTGGTGATAACAAATGGGGCTTTCTCTTTCATTCCTTTCATCATCATGGAATGAGATTTTGGGTCCTCTGTTTTATGATTTAACAGACAATGTAGAAACATTTATTGCCAGATCAATAAGTTTTGGAAGCAAAGATGGAGAACTAATCATGATGAAAACACTCAGCTTCAAGACAATTGATATGGATAAACCCCCAAAATCTGAAGAAGAAAGGATAAAATCACATGTTCCTTTGAGAAAATTGGTTGTAGACAAGGAGAATGAAACCTCAGATTATTCAAAAGTTGAAAAGTTGAAACCCAAGATTTCGTTTCCTGTTCAAGAACCGTTCGTGTTTTCTTCTCCGAGACCGGTTAACGAACTGAATTCTGCTGCTACAACGCTTCAGAAAGTTTACAAGAGTTACCGGACGAGAAGGAACCTTGCAGATTGTGCAGTTATTGTTGAAGAGCTCTGGTCTGTACCATAAGAACTTTTTAATGCTGTTACAAAGATTATCTATCCTTTATGGGAATTTCTCAATTCATTCGATGTTGTAGGTGGAAAACCTTGGATTCTGCAGCTTTGAAACAGAGCTCGATATCGTTCTTCAACAAAGTTGAACCCGAAACTGCTGTGTCCCGGTGGGCTCGTGCTAAGACAAGGGCTGCTAAGGTAACTTAATGTACAAATACCGTCATACGGAGAAATTATAGGCTCAATCTTAACCAAAGTGATGTTTGTTTTCTCATAGGTCGGCAAAGGCTTATCCAAGGATGAGAAAGCTCGGAAACTAGCTCTACAACATTGGCTTGAAGCTGTAAGCCTCAACACTCATCCATAAATATTGTTTGATACTTTATTTCTAGGTTCATACCAATCTAACATCCAAAAATGTTCCACTTACACATAAGACCTGTTGGGTCGGGTGGCCGAGCTAGCAACCCTCGTTGCCTGTGTACCCATACCAGTTTGCTGTGCTACCCACCACATAACCATAACGATCATCTGACAGTTACTCGTCTCTTCCCCGCAGATTGACCCTCGTCATCGTTATGGACACAACTTACACTTCTACTACGATGTATGGTCGGAGAGCAGAAGTCTCCAACCATTCTTCTATTGGTAAGACTTTTTCTTAGAGAAACACCGCATCCACATGAAACTGCTTTCTATTTTTTACCTTGAGTTGACTGCCTTGCCTTTTACCTTGAAGGTTGGATGTTGGTGATGGTAAGGAAGTAAATCTTGAACTTTGCCCCCGAGCCAATCTGCAACGTCAATGCATTGAATATCTAGGCCCTGTAAGCTTTATTACATTTATCTCACTAAATTTTTCCTAAATAATTCCGTCTTAACAGTGACTATTGTCTATTACTATAGTTTGCTTAGTTTTATTGGACGGGGTGGAGTCTAATACTAGTACATACACATTTTCTATATTGTGAATAAGTGTGTTTTGATAAATTTTGTGAAGATTTTGACCCAAAAAAACTGAGAATTGGGTCGACAACTGGTCTGGTTGTTATTTAAAAAACTATGGAACCTGGTATAAAATACGGCAAATCAGGCGGTTAACCAGACAGTTTCACCAAGTCGATGCCCGGACAGGTTCGACCCTTGACCCTCTCCCCTGGTCTTAAAACAGAGAATATATGTCAATGCATGAATTTATTCTAATTTCAGGTCTATTTGATTAATAATACCCATTAGTGAAGCATTTGCCTATATGACAATGTTCTTTTCCAACCTTTTGTCTCACAGAATGAGAGAGAAGTATATGAAGTGATTGTAGATGAAGGGAAATTAGCATACAAACAAAGTGGAATTCTCTTGAATACAGCTGAAGGCTCAAAATGGATTTTTGTCCTCAGTACAACAAGAACTCTATATGTAGCACAGAAGAGAAAAGGTGTTTTTCAGCACTCGAGTTTTCTTTCTGGTGCAGCTACGACAGCTGCTGGTAGATTAGTTGCTCATCATGGTACTCTAGAGGTACAACTTATGGACATCTACGTAAAATTATTCGATTATTTTACTTTGTTCGTCTATATTTTGCACGCGCTTATCGTTCTTGTTTTCCTCAGGCAATATGGCCATACAGCGGTCACTATCTTCCGACTGAAGATAATTTCAAGGAATTCATCATGTTTCTTGAGGAGAATAATGTAGATTTAACAAATGTTAAGGTATTCCACTATAACCCATCTGGCCATAGTGCATACTGTAAGTAAGAAAAGAGCAAAACATAAAAAAAATGCGTTGTAATTGAGGCACGTATTGTAAATATTTGATATTTTTCCACTTTATCCACAGAGGTGTGCAATAGACGATGACAGGACCTCATTTAAGGCAGATGCTATCAAAGTTGAGGAAACTCATGAAGGCAATACATCAATCAAGACAGCTAATACAGAAGCACCCAAACTTGACTTGCCCGAGACTTTATCTTGCAAGTGGACTACTGGAGTTGGGCCCCGCATCGGATGTGTTCGAGACTACCCAATGGAGCTTCAGTCTGAGGCACTAGAAAGAGTAAATTTATCACCTACAATAACATCAAAGAGTTATTTGCCTGTCCCATCTCCGCGACCAAGCCCAAAAATAAGAATGTCACCTCGACTTGCATATATGGGACTTCCTAGCCCAAGGGCGTCTCTCCATAGTCCATTCCAAGTCAAATTTTAGCTTCTAGTCAAGTGGTGGCACACATGCCAATTCTCTTCCAATCAAATGCCGACAGTGTTAGATATTTTTCATCATTTTGCATGTGTTATCTTTTGTTTTGTAAATGTTTTGCCGCCCCGACTAGTGTTTGCCGCTACGCAATGGGGATCGACCTACCCGGTCAGGTCGCGGTGGTCGAGGGGGCAGCGCCCCCCGTGGGGGCTCGGGGGCAACGTCCCCGAAAGAGAATTTTATTTTCAGAAGACTTTGAATATGTATATTTCTTCAAACAGATGTGTCCATTCATTTCAAGGGACACACCTATTCAAAAAGTTGCCTCCAACAGATGCGTCCATTCATTTCAAGGGACACACCTATTCAAAAGGTTGCCTCCATTTCTATATATTTTGGGCGAATT